GGCATCAGTTTCAAAATACCATCCAGACTGTGTGACGTCATTCGCTTGCATTACCCTACCAAACTCAGTGAACTTTGTTCTTCCCACTCAGGTTTTCCACTTGTCAGCGCCAAAATACTTATCAGATAGGGGATGGAGGATCTATTGCAGATCCATATCCCTGTGACATGCAGAAACAAGGAACAGTTTTAAAATACTTGTCAGTTGTAGTCAGTAGAGCACAATGGAAGGCGCATGATATTTTCCCATGAGCAGATAGCCATCGTGGAATTTTATTTCGCTGTAAAATCTCATTGCCGTGTGATGAATACATTTCAGCAGAAACATCTAGGTGAAACAGTGCCAAATGCATCAATGATAACACTTTTAGTGCAACGGTTACTTGACACAGGATTGGTTGTAGACAGGAAGCCATCGGGTAGAACATTCATAATGAAAACGAAAGTGGCAGATGTGGAGACCGCTTTACAAAGAAGTCCATTGAAAAGACCAACCGTCTACATAAACATCATTACAAAATTCATATCCTTGCTGAAAGTGATGAAAGGTACGCGTTTGGTTGCAGCAAGACGGGGCAATTTGTCACACATCACGGGACAGTATGGACGTTTTAACTGAATTTTTCGATGATCTTGTCATTTCTAAAGGACAGCTCGTTTACCGGACTTGTCAATTCAGAAATTTTCCCTTGGGGATATCTGAAAAATGTAATCTTCACGAATAATCCCCATACGTTTGATGAAAAGAGTAACATCCTTCATGCAATATCGGACATTAATTCTCACGTTCTTCGTAAAGTGTCGATTAATCCGGTAAAAAGAGTTCGATTGTGTGTCCAGGAAAACGGACATTATTTTGAACATTTACTGTTATTTTACAATGTCTGACACCTGACAATAAAGATACCACCTTTCAACCTTTGTTTTTGTCCTTTATTCTGTTTGTTAACATAATTCATCTGTCTTTAAAACTCAACCACAAAGGTTGATGTGCGTGACTTTTGAAACACCCGGTATTATTGCGATTTTCACCGACTAAACGTGGTTTGCGACCCCATGTTCTACGGTTATTTGTCATTTCCATTCTTCTTACTATCCCCCCTCTGTCGTTCGAATTCGGCAAGACCCTATGTAACTCTCTATGAGCCTACGTATCATAAAAATTGTATTACTAAATATTTATAAATATAAACCAATGTTTTTTGTATTGGATTGCTCCAACACACACACATGTTCTATTTTCCTCGCATATTTTTTATCTTGTATCTTTCTTACTAGATTTGAAAGTTATTTCGCAAGTACAAAAACTCAATGAATCGTCATTTCTTCCTTTGACTCATAATTTCCAGGGACTGAAGATTTGGGTCTTACTCATAATGAGAGCGATTTGGAAGAATGCGATTTTCATTTTAAATGTTAACTCACACTTGAGTTTCATTTACATTTATAAATGACATTTCTCTTGTGTTGTCTCACATTTGCTTATTAGTCACAACTTATCTCATTATCTAATTCACAGTTCATACTGGCAATTTTTAGTCGCCACTGATCTTTCACACCCCCTATAAAACTATCAACTAATGATATTATTTACAGTGTTTGCATGAGATGCAATAATATCTAGCCAGCTAATTTACTCTAAAATGACAGTCATTTTACCCATAAAATATCTATTTTTTTTTTTAAAGAAAATATATAGTGTCGTCATTGTCCTTTTCCTCTCGTATATATATGAGCAGAAGAAAATAATTTATTAGAAAATATACTGTGGCAATAATAAACCAACAGTCTCAACATTTAAAAGTGGGAAGAGGAATATTTCATTACAAGTTTAATTAAAGTTATGGATCATTTAATACACATGTTTTAATCAAGAGCTTGGAGAACATCATTAAGAGCGTAATGATAAAGTGATTATTATCTAATAAGGTCATGCTAATTTATTTATGTCAAAATAAGACACATTAAGCAAAATTTTATTAAAACTAGCTAAAAATATTCATTACTTAAAAATGAATTATATTACCACACACATGTGTAAAATTCATAATTCTTCAGACCTTATAAGGCTGTAATGTGTCTTGTGATGAATTTATTCACTTCTCCGCATTCAGTCAGAAGACTGTACTTTATAGCTTTGTGACTCTCCTTATTCGGATTTTCTCCCTGTTATTTCTTCTTCACTATCTTAGATTTTGTTATAAATGATTTAGAGAAAACCCCCAGGACCCCTGTATAGAAATAAAATGGACTTTATTTTATTTAGAAACAAAATGTAGTGGGTGTGTGATGGCTGAAAATAATTCGTCATATTCATGTTTGCTTTCCTTACGACTTTCAGAGGTTTTGTGGTCTACCACTTGAATACAGATGAACATCTTCTCTGCTATACATTTCCAATCTAATGAACACTTACAACTTAATCGAATTTCTCTTTATGTTTAAAAGCAGTGCCAATCCTACCAAGTGTAAAGAGCGTGAAGCGACGTGGGCGGCCAAAGCACGGGGCAGCCGCAGGCCTATAGCAGTGTCTGTCAATCAAGCAATTTTTTTTTTCTTTGCGAGTATCTCAAAATAAAATTATAATGTCGAATAAATATATTGAATTTTAAACATTTATTGAAAAATCAAAATAAGTCCTGATTTCCCGATGACATAGCACAGTTTAAAAAAAATAGAAGGCACAGGCAGTGTGCTGGTCCATAGTCCAATAATGTCTATTTTTTATACACATCCTTCATTTTGTGGAAAAACTCGTGGCAGAACTGGAAATACCGCAAGAATTTTTTTTTTTTTTTTTTTTTTTTTTTTTGCTTATTAGATATACTGGCGGCGCACTGTGGATCGATGCTTAATAAAGGCTTCTCAAAAATTAATTTTGCGAAAGTCGCTTTACTAAAATATCTATTATGGTTTAATATTACTTACGACATAGGAGTGTTAGAATTCAATAAGCATTTGGGAAAATTAAAAATTTTCAATTTAATAAGAGCCTTGCAGTTTAGAAAAACAAAATAGAAGAAACAAGTGACTTTTGTGTTTATTTTCACTTTCATTAAAGTTTTACTTTATACTATCATACAGGTAGATGAGTTTATAACGTCACCGTTTAGGTCAAATATGAAAAATTCTCTAGAAAGGCGGCACATTAGGCTTTTCCACGAGGGGGAACGACAACCTAGAATCGGTTTTGTTTCAAGGATCGACATGGCCTTAACTGAGATCTTAATAGGTTATTGTCTGAGGTTATAGAAAAATAAAGGTTATGTATATAGGCAGGACGTTTTAAGGTACGGACCAATTGGACCTGGACTATATGCCAACTGGTAAAGTGGAAAGATTGCGTTATCATATCATGTCTGTGTCTAGGTCTAGGCTTATTGCTATATATTATCAGAACTCATATAGTCAAAAGGCGACAGTCGGTTGAGTTAATTTGTGTTTAGTTTTGTGAGATTGTGAGTCACGCACATTTAATTGTTACAGACTACCGTTTTTAAGAGTGTTTGGCAACGTATTCTATGTACTGTCTACTTAAAGGGATCGCAAGTGGATACTTTTGCATTGGAGCCTAGGTCCTCAAGAAATAAGATATATAGTTTATAGTATATACTCTATATAGTTTATTCCAAGCGCAGAAAGTTCCTCCTTTAATGTGTGATCCTAAAATCGAGTATTTCACTTCATTTTAAATGTAACAGCTGAACTCCATTTTAGTATAACAACAGTTCTAAAGAACTACTTTTTACCCCCCCCCCTTTCTTTAACACAGAACTATAAATGAACTATTAATTTCGAACACGGAGAAAGATCTTAGCTCAGCGGATTTCCAGTTGCTCATTGAAACACACACACAATAGATTTTATTTATATATGGCCACACTTCTCTTTAGTGGGGATTTAGTTTCGTTATGAGCTTCTGTTGTGCTTTTATGCCTTATGAAAACCTCTTCCAATTATGACTGTGAGTTAAGAATGGACCTATTGTTTTTTTCCAAGAGAGTAGTAACCTTGAAGATAAAACTTTTTTTTCTTCCTTTTAACTTTTTATCCCATTCTCTGATTCTTCGCATTATAGAAAGGAAAGTCATCATCATTTTTTTTTTCTTCTCATTTTCTTTTTGTGGCTAGCATATGTTTAAGAAACAATTGCCACTTCCACTTGATTGCTTGGCCTTTTCGCAAAAGAACGAGAGTAATGTTGTTTCTCTGGTGAATGTAAAGACGCGTCGTATATCTTTCGTTCCGTTCGCAGTCGGAATGATATTCACTGTTGCAGAAATAAATTTTTGTATTTTTTGTTAGGAGAGTGACTTTTAGAGGGGTGACACACACAGTTAAAAACGAGGTCGTTGCTCCATAAAGGACCTTAGCATTTTATGAATGTGAACGGATATATGTTGTCTTTCATCATATCAGTTTTGGACAAAATTGGTTGTTAATGATATTGTCGTACATTTCAAAATAATTGAACGAAAGATTAAATTTATTTTGCCAATTACATGTATAAAATATTCATTTTTTTTTTCTGCTTCTGCAGGTCTCTGAACTTGTCATTAGTGAAGTGAAAAATAAATACTTTGATATATTATTGAAAAGATGGTGAAAAAGGTTATTAAAAATATAAATAAATTCACAACCCTTAGGTCAGAGGTGAGCAGCCTTTCCTTGCTGTAAGCATTAAATGCAGTTTAGCCAATTAATATAGCCTAATGGATGCTCCGCGGTTAATTTTTCAATTCCTACAATTAGTTCACACACTCCCGATATTTATTTATTTATATATATCTCTTGTTCAAAATTTCAATCGTTAATAAAATATTTTTTTTCAACCACTGAAGTTCAAATACATTTTTTTAAGCTTGTAGTGGATGACACTTGTTGTTAATACAGTTTTTTCAAATATTTTTTAATTCATTCATTAAATTAAAAAATGAATAAATAGTAACAAACAAAAATAATAGTCCAACAGCTTATATAGAAAGGAAACTCGTTTTCTGTATCCCCTGTAGCACGATGGATAGTGTGTTGGACTTCTAATCCAAAGGTCGTGGGTTCGCATCCCACCTGGGATGGCCAAATTTCTGAGAATGTGATTTCTTCTTACTCTCTATTTTATTAGAATAATTAAACTTAATTAATGAATAAGTAGAGTGAGAGACACAAAAAAAGAGCCCAACAACTTATATAGAAGGAAAATGGGAAAACTGCAAGGAAATTTGCTTTCTATTTTGCCACTTAATATTGTGATTCTGTCATATATATTTATATTAATCGTAATTGTTTAATAAAAAGTAACTAAAATAAAACTTTTCTTTGTTGGCCTAAGTAGGAATTGACTTTATTTTTTTTTTTACATATATATATATTTCTTGTTTAATCTTAAATTTGAGTAAAAAATAGTAGGAATATAAACTATCGAGAGATCGTGATAACTTGCTTTGTTAGTTCAGTAAAGAACAAATAACTCACGGGTTACAGGATCGGTTCTCCTCCTTTAAAATGCTAAGGTATATAGTTTGCCCGATGTACTCTGTCTTTACTCACATCGACGCGGCGTTCAGAACAGAGTGTCTGCGCAGGTATTAATCTCTGGATCTAACCGTGATTCAAAGTTACAATGCATACTGACCGTGATAAGCTTATTTCTACTTAAAGCTTTGAATTGTGCTCCATTGAAAGTACTTTAATTGTGAATATTCTTTGACAAATTATAAGTTTCTCAGAAGTTAATTATATATTTATCTTAATCAAGTGGAAAATGAATATATACTCAAAGTGGCGCAACAGCCCATGAGGGCCAGGGCCTACTGTGCCCATCCCAGTATACATGACCATTGGGCGCTGAGGTGCATGAGCAGATGTCCCGATCAGGTGGTCAGTCTGAAGCGAGACCCTCTGTGCTTAAGTCCCCAAGCAAGCTTGGTACTCATTTATCGACCCACTGCAGATAGCGATACGCTATCACTCGGCCTAAAATGAATATATATTCGTAATATATTTTCGTTTGGTTATAGTTTTTAAAATGTTAAGCAAACGGAGGGAGTGTTAGAGGGTGTTCCATTCAAAGATTCGGACTCTATTTCTGCTTGACTCGTAGGTCCGTTATTTTGATTTTGGCCGCGATAGCCTAGAGGTCGAGATCATGGACTCGTGGCCAGCGTGTCATGAGTTCGAGCCCTAGTGCCTCTAAAAGCCTGCCGTGTAGAGGGGCGGATGCACATTAATTGTGTCGAAGCTCAAAGTTCTCCCATGGAGTGGTGTGGAAATTCAGAGAGGGGGTGCCCTAGTGTTGCTTCATAAAGCGATATTAATAAAATCCGACGCACTTACTGATCCCTCATTTTGATTTAAGTCTCATACTGAGGCTACACAATGGCTGTTGAGGATTGATCTTGTAATGTTGTCCTCGACATTTGAGCTGCATCCCACTCTCTAAATTTCTACAACATGCCAACGTGAGGACTTTCATCCTTGATAGATTTAAGGAGATGCTCAATATAGAGGGTCTTTAATGGCGCCAGGACTCAAGCTCATGATTCGACTATGCCGATCACGAGTTCGCTACTATGACCCGAAGGACTGGCTTGAGTTTGAGTTTGAGTTAATATTAACGTCGCACTGTTCAGCTACACGAGGGCTTTTGGCGATGGACCACGTAATTTTGAACCATGGTCAAGTGACGTGGACGACACCTGAGCTGGCACCCCCCTCTCCTAACTACCACACCACACCAACGGGAGGACGTTTCAGCTCTCGACAGATTTAACGTGCATCGCTGCCCTACACGGCGGGTCTTCAGTGGTATTGGGATCGAACTCATGACATGCCTGCCATGATCCGATACCTTAACCACTGGGCTACCGCAGCCCCCCGAAGGACTGGCAACCACAGTCAATACAACTCGGAATTTCGAATTTCGGTCAGGTGACAAAATCGACATCTGAACTTGCGGACAACATGAGGACTTTGAGCCCTAACTGACTTAACATACATGATGGCAAAGCCATTGCTCGAACACGCAGTTTGACCAAAATATTACTGGCCACGAATCTATGTGATAGATTTTGTGCAGAAGGTACTTCATTGCATTTATACTCGTATATCAATGGAGTATAGGGAGGAAGTGTTTATTAACGTCTCACTCTAAAGCAGCGTTAAGGACTTCAGACAGTGGACCTCGTAATTTTGAACCATGATCCTGTGACGAAGTCGACACTAAAGATGGCACCCCATTCTCCTAATATCCACTCAATTGCCAACGAGAGGATTTTGAGCCTAGACAGATTTAAAGTGCATCAGCCTCTCTGTACGTTGGATTTTCAATGACTCTAGGACTTAAACCCGCGATTCGACAATTCTTGGCCCCATGGGTTCGTGATCATGACCACTTGGTTAACGCGAACACCAATGAAGAGTGAGTGAGTGAATATTAACGTAGCACTGTTTTGCTGCTCGTGGGCTTTTGGCAACGGACCTCGTAATTTTGAACCATGGTCAAGTGACGAGGACGACACCTGAGCCTGCACCCTTTTTCCTAACTACCACATCACACCAACGGGAGGACGTTTCAGCTCTTGAAAGATTTAACGTGCATCGCTCCCCTACACGGCGGGTCTTTAATGGTACTGGGCTCGGACTCGTGACATGCCAGCCACGACCCGATACCTTCGCCACTACGCTACCGTGGCCCCTCACCAATGAAGAGAGAAGGGGGGGGGGTACTGATGCGGTAATTTGTATTGAGACATGTTGCAATATAAAAACTTTTTACAGTTTCAATGCTTGAATACTTTGAAATAAATTTTTAAGTAGATAAAAAAAAAAAAGAAACGCCTTATTTAGATTATACTTGAATTTAATCGAATCGACAGTTGGTTTGAATATGAAAAGATTAAAAATTCATTTAAAGCAATCTAAAAAAGGTATATTTCTAACCACTTAGTTTTTCTCGAATTATTCCTTTCCTGCAAGAAAAATAAATTTCAATCACAAGAAATGTTTATGGATATCGCTTTAACAGAAAAATAAACTGAATGTCCCCCTTTTTTTATGCTATTCAAGAAAACGTGATTAGATTATATTTACCATTCTTTTCATTTCAAACTTGGGTCTTGACATGATTTATTACATAGCTCGAGAATGTTTGAAAGTGTGAATAGTTTGGAATGAAAAGCTGTAGTATTCGCATACTTTTGAAATGTATCTTTCGCGGAGATTTAAATTCGTCTACTTCTGAAATTCAAAGCACATGTATTGAAAGCATTCAGCTTCCTTTGTAATTATTTTCTGTTTTTGTTTTTTAACGAAGGAATTTAAACCTCCAAATATTTTATTTTAACTGGATATTCGTTAAATTTATATTAGAGATGTAAAGAAAAGTTGTAAATTTTTTTTTCTATAATTACATTTGCATATAAATTCAAAATAATCCAATTAATGGATTAAAAAAATAATCAGAAAAAGAAATATATTTTATGTGCTTTGAACCTATCTACTGATGTGCTATTTTAATTGTGACGTGAATATAAAGAGTTATAGGTACCAGTTTTAATGTCAACCACGACATCTTACGGAGATTTAGAATAGTGAAACATATTTTGCTGCGGTTACGAAATTCAATTAGCTATTTGATTTTTTAGTTACATAATTAAGTCCAGAAATTCGCCTCCTACATTTACACACATACATACATGGCCTTTTAGAAGACTGATTTTGCTTATGGATCACTGAATCTAGCAATAATTTGGTTTTGTTGTTTAAAATCGACAGGAGAACTAATCATTTTCGAATACTTTTTAGGTATGTGCCTTTTTTCACAATTAATAATGGATTTTAAATATCTATCCGTTATAATCTTTAGGATCTCGTTCACTATTATAAACAGAAAGAAAGTTGGCTTGCTATAAAAATTGGGTTTAACCCCAATTCTTAGCCTGGTGGTTAATCTTAGCCTGCTATGTTTATAGATACTGAAGTATCTATTTTGAAATTTTAATATTTCTCTCTCATCTCTAGAGAGTTATTCAATAAATGAACTATAAAAATATTCAGCTCAGTATTTTATTTGTGACCAATTTATTTCATAAAAACCATACGCGTTCTGTCTCAATGGATTTTTTTCCCCTTAAAAACATGCAGATTTTGATTTATAAATATCGTTTCTAAATTCATATCTTATTTATTTCAATTACGTACGTTTCCGAAAGTAAATTTAGATTATATATTAATTTATTACCTCTTTTTGAATGGCAACACTTTTCAAAAATAAATAGGCCTTTAATCTCGATTATAAGCTCTTAAACTTAAAATGTCTTTTAGTTGTATAAAAAGGGTTGTTTTATTTGAATTTTGCTATAGATATTAAAAAATCAAATTGTAGGAGCTCATTCTCCGGCTATCATTAAATGTTATATGTTGACTTGTGTAACGGAACGAAAAGAAAGTAGACTTTTTATTGCGACTACGTTTTCCAACCATTTCGACTATTTTAAACGGAAAACAAGAGTAGAAACCTAAATGGCAAATGCTTTCGTATATTTTTGCTTACTTAAGTTGGCCGCTGTTGAAATACATTAAGTTGTGTATATTTTAAGCACCTCGCCTTCAAAATGACATAGTTTTTTACTGGTCCAATTCAAAATATTAGAATGACCAAAAATAAGATTATATAGTGTAAAAAAAGCATTATGTCTGTAAAAATAAACAACAGGGACGACCGAAAAAATTATAAAGTGTTTACTATAAGCTGACTTATGATGCATAGTTCACATATATCTAAAGAGTCAATACAAATTTCATTTTTAAATTACACTGAAATTATATATATTCGAAAAATTAAAATATTCCTGGAAGTGATTAAAAATATTACAATATTTATAAAATTTTGTAATTGGTCAGCGTTGATAACAAAATGTACAATGATGCCTTTGTATGAACATGAATGTTTCTTTAGTAATTAGCTCTAATTAGTTGGCGATTAAAAATAGACCGCATGGAAAAACACATACCCGACATTACAAAGACTACAACTGTGACTATGCAATGAGAGAAGTTAACACATGATTGCGGAGAA